ATTCACACAAACAATTCCGTGCTGAAAATTTGAATTTCAAGATAAAGTAACCTTAACGCCTCGAAACATGTTTCTTATAGGTTTTCGACAATGCTCTTTCCAGTGGCATCATTTTCAAATATTGAGAAAGTTTTCTGAAGGGTTTTCCAGAGACCGGATTTCTGGAAAACTTCTTAGAAAACTTTTTTAAAACCCAACTCTCATGCCATTAGAAAGAGGATCATGAAAAACCTATAAAAAGATGGTTCATGAAATTTTAGTTCACTCATAAAGCTAAAGTCCGCTTGCTCCAGCAAAAAATGTCTACTGTGCAACGTGGATGCGTTTCAATATTTTTCTTTTATCCATATAATTTTTCTTAACCATTTCACATTGTTTATCTGTACTGTGTAGCTGTACTATGCTCCCACGGCTTTTTATCCATGCATGAGTGAAGATAATATGTCTTTTGTTTCTTTTCTGTAGTGTGCATTACCTTAGATAAAGGACACAGCATGAATACAATATGTTATTAATCGCATCAGTTGTATAACACCATCCAGTTCAAAATTAAACATCGTCAAACATTTCACAAATACCATCTGAACGAAACAAATTGAAAAGTTGTGGATTCATTCGACCACGCGACAGCTAATTTATCTAACTTTTCATAGCTAATACTAATTTATGAGTCCTTTTTGGATTTTTGAGCGAATATTTTTAAAAACCGGTCTCCACCCCAAACATTGACATGATATACGTCAGGTTTTGTTTTATTTCCATAGTCAAGAGCTTTCATCTCTAAAGAACACCTATTGGTTTAGAATTAATTCACAGCATTGAGAACTTTTTCCTGGTCATTCACTTTTCCGAGTTAAAAGGACAAGTTAAGAATTTTGAGTATTTTTGCTGCTTTCCGAAACAGAACAGTGACAAAGAAAACGCTAAGCAGTTGCTTATCATAAATACTGTAATCACAGACAGGCGTTTGTGATAAAAATCTTCAATCGGTGAGTATTATAGCGATAAAGTTGCATGGTGTGGTGAGATAAGACTCATGGTTAATTTATAAAATATTCGAAGTGAAATGTGTGCAAGTGCTGCATTGGATCCATGCTAATGGTTGTTGTTGCTAGTGATCTATGTTTTACTCTTCGTCGACACGTGAATTAATTTACTAAATAGGTTTGGTATGATTTAGATAGTTATGGTCCCATTCAGCAAACCTTTTATAATCTTGACAATATTCGTACTTATAACATATTCAATACGTTCTGGAATTTTCTTCAAGTCACTATCCACGATAATCTCTCTATTTTTCGCTCCAGAAATCGACGAAAAAACGATATACTACGTTAATGAAGATACAGAAAGTTTTGAGGTTCGCCGACGCCCTTTGAAGGCAGATAGATTCGAACATAATTTAAAAACGCCATCTGCTCTCGTCGATACATTGAATAAAAAGCACTTTGATACGCTCTATAACAACGAGTCATCAGGTTCGCTTATGCAACAGCAATCAGCCATTGGTCTGTGTGTCAATTTTAATGATGATCCCAATGTGAACGGAACGAGTTTATTTTCTCTGTTAAAATACTATACACTCATTAATCGTTACATTGTCATTTTAACTCCGTCAGTATTTAAAGGTTTATCGGTTAAAAATCAACAAATTTTACGAAAGTTCAATGTCAAACAAACAACAACAATGAAACGAAGGTATAATGAGCACATAATTCTAACACAGTATGATCACGTCAAGCCAGTAGAAAGGTAAGCCGCACCAGACATTAATAGCCCTATCTTAAGAATCAGTGCTAACTTCGCTTTGTTGCACTAGTATGCGACAGATAAATTTATGGTTGCAGCCTACGTTCTCTGTATTGCAGTCAAAAGACATAACTTAGGACAGGAAAAGCAGTTTGCAAAGGCCTTTAATTTTCAGGTAAATTAATTGCAAAATTAAAGCCTCTCCTAGACTTAACGTTGAAGAGTATATAAAGTTTGTATTGTGACTTATATTGTGATCCTCCAAACCTTATATTTTATGTCTGACGCCTGCAAAACACAAGAGTCTTTAAAACACTAGTTACTGTTTATTAGACGAGACTGTCGCTCAGGCAATCTTTTATAATTGTACAGCACGGAATTTATATTGAAAATCTTTGTAGTTTTGGAAATGAAAGGCTGTCCACACATCTCATTATTTAGTACCGTATTATTCCACATACAGTGCGAAAACGCTAGCCATGGTTATTATCAACAGAAATGCATATCTTTGTGTGCCCAGTTATACGAACAATTATCACAAAAGTCTCAAATTAGCACATTGAGAGGTACATTGTATATATCGGACGATGTATTTTTCAACTTCAGCCATGTATTTAGCCACCCGTCGCTTTATTCACTGTCTGAATTTTGGCTCGTTCAATGTTTAGACGTTGTTAACTATTTGAAGAAAAACAGATCTACATGGAAGTGGTGGCGACATGAGAATACTTGGAGAAGATTTGTTAAAGCGTTTAGTAGCTACATACCGCTCAAATATAAAGTTATATTTCAGAGACTCTATGGCTTTGGAAACATTATGACTCAGTCACGAGCCGATGTTGTCTACATTCCATTCGCTGACAATCAATTATCAACATTTATAAATATAACAGATGAAATTCTAACATATCTTCCAAAAACATTTTGCGAAATAATCATATCGATCCTTATTGATCTGACGGGTGCCGTCAGTAAACATTGGCCATATCAAAATGATCGTATACAGTTTAACTCGACAGTGAATCGCTTAAACAATATATCAATTCAAAGAGAAATGGAAGAGAAAAATGAAACAACTGCCAGCCGATATCCGTATAACACAAGCGTCTATCAGTATCGTCCATGTTTACTTAATATACGAGGTTATATTATCCATCAGCGTGATTATCGACCAGTATATGAAGCGTATTTAACCGATAACAAACATGAATTTATTCATCCGTTAAAATTATCTAACACACGACATTGGTATTATCGACTGTGGCATAGAGCAATGGACAAACAGATTGTAGACCTAAAACACTATCAAGAAAAATTCCGACATCACTCTACCACAAGACAAAACAAATGAAAGCGGTAAACATGCTACATTCATATGTACTAGTGGTCACTTTCATTCAAAATAAACTTCATATTCGCGATCCGCTGACGGAGTGTAAACCAAATGAGGTACTGTTTCAACGAAAATATTTTGTAAAGATGGGTCTTCTCAGCGCAAAGACTCCGAACACTTGTCACAACTCCGTTTACATTTTAACTTTAACTCAATATGCTGAATAGTACCAAGTGCATCCTAGCTTTTCCTGCATTTCTTCTAGAGAATCCAACATCCCTTCTGCTTGTGTATTGTATAGTTCTCTCTCTTTTCGTGCGGATTGAAAAAGTAATCTAAAACTACTAGTAAAGTACTTATTTCATGAAAGAGTTTTGTGTAATTAATTTAACACCTCTGCTTTAACACTTCCACAGTTACTGAGAAAGAATGATGCAGCGAGAGAAAGAGAAAAGTTTTGTGCACATATTTTGTATTAAAGAAAGAATTGTCAACAGTTTGCGAGGAGTATCCGTTGTCCTTGAAGGATGCGCAGATCATTTGATTCTGTTACAATGAGGCATCTATTACAATCTGCTGAAGCGTTCACCAGAAATAAAGACTTAAACATACCGCAAAATGCTTCAGGAAACGTCGTCTGCAATTCACATGATCCTCTGATGTAAGACTTGATTGAACAGAATCATATTTATGCCCTCTGATATGCAAAAGCCATTTACTTAGCATCTATATCGACAATGTGGAGTGCCTGTGTCTGTTACCTTTTTTCTATAAACGATGCCACAAGCAATGTGAAACCCAAGAAAGAAGTGTATGTACTAAGTATCATTCACTACCTATATAACACACACTGTTTATATACTGCGCATGCAGTTTGATCTTGCCATGGACATATAACCGCGTGTAAATGGCTGATGAATATGGAAGTGTATGCGCGGTATATAAATAGTGTATATGTTATCGGTAGTGAATGACACTTACGAGGGAACTGCCCCAAGTGTCCGCTCGCTTTTTTCTTGAAACCTAGTGGAGAATAGACTATGCTGATTCCGAATATGACAATGGTTTTTGCTGCTAGGCCTTCGAAGACCTGGTTTTCTAGAAAACCAGTTTTTCAGAAACCCCAAAAAATAACCCGAACCTTTCTTAATGAGGCATGATTGTAGCCCGCACATTTCTGATTAAAATGAGACCTCTCCCAACTCTACATGACCTTTCTTTGCAAAGTTATGGAATTTACACGAAGAGCCCTAAATTAATTTCTTCTTATTTCTGTAGCTTTTAGCTGACAATGAACATTTAGGGCTTTTGTTGTAAATTCTAT